TGAAGAGTCCTCCTTACCAGCCTCTGCTGCTCTCGGGCAAAACCCCTCCTGATTTTCTACCTGGCTCTGGGGAAAACACTAGGCCAAATGCTCAGCTGGTGCAAAGCAGCGAAGCTGCACTGCAATCCAGGACATGCTTTTTTCAGAGTACAGGTTGAATAGCTTAGTCCTTTAAATGCAAATTTGCATCAAGAAAAAGGACTGTCCTTAATGAAGGAGATAGGCTCAGTAATTAGAAAGAAAACAGGACTCCCGGTTTTGACAGCTTGAAACTGGCACCCTGCAGGGCAAGCAGTTAGTACTTTGTATCCACATTCATAACCCATCATAAATTTTAATTAAACAGTGTATTGATTAATAAACTGCCACTCCTCAGATTGGACAGGTGCTGCTCTGAAAGGCACACCAGCATGTGTAGGATTTTTTCCCCTGGACTATTTTGAATTTGCATCCGACAAACTTACTGCTCAAAATGACAAGACCCAAATTCTTGCTGGCTCCTGCATGTAACCAAAACCATTCCAGTGAAGAAGTGTATTTGTCTTCCTGAGGGGTAAATTCAACCCAGAGTTTCAAAGTAGCCTGAGAAAGCTATCTTTTCATTTGCCTGAGGGGTAAATTCAACCCAGAGTTTTAAAGTAGCCTAAGAAAGCTATCTTTTCATTTAAGCAGCCAATGCAACTAAAGTTAGAAACTACAGCTAGTAGTTCTGCTATTTTCTGTCCATTAGCTTTCTCAAGACTTCACATTCTCATGAAGATGAACTTCTCTGTGTAACTAATTGCATTACAGTCACATTCTCATGAAGATGAACTTCTCTATGTAACTAATTGCATTACTCAATGCATTTACTTTTCTTTGTACATAACTGCCTCTACCCTAGAACTGAAATTCATTTCTAGTATTTATTTCACAAAATTCCTTGGAATCATGTCCACTTTTTCCAACTGTCTCAATTTAGATAATAAAAGATACTACTTTGATTTACATATTTCCAAAGCCACAGATAGGACTTTATTAAGGTATTGTTCATATTAGACATTTTCTTGGTAGTGAACAGGTCAAGTTGGACTATTACAATTACATGCAATTCATAGCTTATGAACACAAAGCATTTGAATAAAACTGTGTACAAGCTACACAGTTAAGCAATTGTTTAATCCCTGACAAATGCCTGGAGTTTGTATTCCACAGAAGATTAGAACAGAATATTATTCTAAGGAGTTACCCCTCCTCCTCCTGCATCACTCTCACTGTTCCTCCGCTCCTCTGTATACAAAACAAACACACCTCCCCTTAGCATGACTTGACCTCATAATACAACCAAAAGCAAGGGAACAAGAAGAAATGCTAATGCTATGCGAGCAGCAAGAGCAGATTTTACTTTTGCAGAGTTGTGATGACAGATCCTGCTCTTGCTGGCCCCTGGAAAGGAGCAGGCACCAAACCAGTACCTCCACTGGTGGGGCACATGCTGCTTTTATGTAATGCTTTATGTAATGATCTATGTGACAGGACTGGAGACTTCAGGAACCCACCAACCTCCTTCAGAGAAGCATGTCCTTGCGCTCTCACACTTATGCTAGTTACAAGTCATGGCAAGCCTTTACAGTTCCCCAGCTACCTCACTGTGCTCCATTCTGCGCTTGGAAATGATCTTTCATTTGTAACAAATAATTTTTAAGGACTTGAATTTAACAAGAAGGGAGGGAGTGATCCTGCTCTGGGCAGACATATGGGCAGACTTCTATCCAGCTCATTTAAGCTTTACTGAAGTGTGGTGTTTTCAACATATACATTATTTGGGCATCTAGAGAAACTGCCTCTCTAACTTGCATTTGCAATGGGATCTTTTAATTGTCTGTGCTTTCAAGATTTTATCCACAGAACTGAGTTAGCATTCCATAGTGCTACCAGTCCCTTTCCAGTTACAAAGGTACTAAGGTGTGACTGGCCGTAATATGATCAAACCATTCCCATACCTTCATGTATTTATTCACACCGTAGGCAAAAACAATCATCACTGAACACAATGGTATTCTGGAATTCTCAGGATTAAGCATTGCTTAGGGGCTTTAAAGTAAAAGGAGGGAGGTGAAAGGCTGTGTTATCAGAAAGGTTCCCCTTCTGCTCAATATTTACACGAGCTGAATATTTACACGAGTGTTTTATGAGAGGTTTGGACCCACCTGTTGTAACACTCTAACAAAACCAGGCACACGACAACTGCAAACACTGATTAAACAAAAGTCATGGCAGTTTTTGTTTAAAGGCAGAAGAGCAATTGCAAATATGTGCATTAACACGATGCTTCATTTTCTTGTGGTTTTAGACCTCAGCCTTCAGGTTTATCAAGTTTCATTGATTCAACCATGGACATCAAAAACCTTTACAAAAGTAAAACAAAACCCAAAAGCCTCAGCAGTAAAACCTGCAGCAACTACATGGTACCAAGAGCTGCCATTTTAAGGGAATAATTAGTTCAATCAGCCTGTGTCTTGCCTCTGTGGTGGGGTGTAGACACATAAATTTCATTTTTCTGGTTGGGAGTCACAACTGTGCTTATGGAGTAGGAATAAGATCACTTTTGACTCTTTATGTTGGTGTTCATGGTGGGTAAGTGAGCCCTTGCCTGAAGCACATCGACACACTTCTACTGGTGCTGCACGAGCAAGTTTAGTCACTGATATGGAAGCATATTTCTAGCTTGCAGGAAGGGGAATCATTCCTGACATTTGCCAGAGGAGATAATCTTAGGAAATCTCATTCTGATTTCAGTGGCATACGGGATGACAAAATGAATATTTAATGTACATAATTCTTTTCCCTAGGAAATAAAGCAACCTTTTTCTAAGAAAGCTGGAGATGGAAAAAATCCATCCTTCCTGATGTGGAGGGAAGAAAAAAACACAATCTTAGCTCCAGAGCAGTCAGCCCAGGCAAATGTTACAGCAAGTTAAGAGACAATTTTGTGGGAGCAAGGAGAAATGCAAACA